CGGGTATTCCTAATCTATCAATACTTCGATTTTCAAGACCGACTCTTTCAACCGCTCAGATATCCAGTAGTAAACATCTATGGTTAGAAACGATGCTTCAATTAGGACCACTATTTGCATCACCCATTCGATGACTACGTATTTCGTTAGAAAAAAAATATATAACATTATCTTTAACAAATTTCTTAGAGTTTCTTCCAAATAGAGCATTATAAGTCAAAATATCTAAAAAAATTATGTTCTCCGTTTTTGAGTATCTGACATTAATTATAATATCAAAATATATTTCATTCATTTATTAAAAATTTATTTATTTCCATATATATTTTTTTCAAAGTTTTATATTGGTGGAAAGATATTAAAAAATATCTCTCACATGTTAATTATTTTTTGGAGATGCTCTAAGGGGCCGTTTACCAAACGTTTACCTAAGTAAGCGTTTATCAAGTCACATTACTTTATCGGATGAATATGGTAAGGACCAATAATCTTACCCGGTAAGTGAGAGCGACGACTCTTACCAGGTAAGCGTTTACCGGGTAAATTGTTGCATACGATATCGTTTTGGTGAACTAAGATCTTACCCGGTAAGTAAATAATGGTGTTAAATTTTACCGGTAAGCATTTATCGGATAAGTATTTGGTAAACAATCCCTAAGACTATGTAGAGTTGAATTCATATGAAAACAATAATCAAACAACAAAAAATAGAAGAATGAATATGTACCAAACAATTTATTAAATAATGTCTTAAATATGAAAATTTTCCAAAAATGAATAAATAAAAATATAAAATCATTTATTTATAAAAGAGATATGTATTTATTTAAAATTATACTTTTATCATCTTTGTGATTTTAATGTTATTTAATTTTTTTTTCTATTTTAATATTTTCTTTTTCTATTTAAGGTATTTAAGGCATTTAAAAAACGTAACTTAATTTTCAATTAAATAATTTATATTTTTTAATTAAGTAAATATTAAAAAATAAGTACATTTTTTGTCTATATATATACCAGGTGCCATCGAGCTCTATCGCAACTCTATCTAGAATTCATCAAATGGCCTTCGGCCTAGCGGTATCATAGTCCTTGGCTTCCTAAGAGGTCAAGAGTTCAAACCTCACAAAATATGAGGAGGGTGTGTGAGTTTATTTGTTGCATTTGTCGTATATAAATATTATATACTTTATATATAAAAAAAACTCTATCTAGGATTTGTGACTTATTTTTACAGAGCCGGTTTGTTCATCTAATCTCAAAATTTTCGTCTTTGTTACTTCTATTACGCTTATATATGTTTTCTACTACTTCATGATTTTCCTATTTTTGTTAGTTTGAAATCACTGTGAATTATTTCATTCCCAATTTTTGAATTCATTGATCGATCGTGATTCTTTTACTAGATTCGGATTTACGTGACTCTGTCCTATTTTTCGATCTGAAATTTTTGGCGATAAAAGGTAATGCATTTCCGTATATTGTTGGGTTGAATTTCTGTAAAATTTGCAATGGTTTTCATCAATACGAGATTCGAATATGATAATGTGGATGATGAAAACTCGAACGACTTTCTAAATTTTTATTGTCATGGTATTGATAGAATTTACCTGTTGATTGCTATCGATTAGTTTCATTTTTCAGTAACGTGTTTATATTTTTTTGGATTGAGGTACAATAACACTTGTTTTATTACGATTAAAATCTCATTTTGTTTGGAAAATCATCATCAGATCCTATGGATGAACAGATGTCAATGATGTAAATTTATATTTGCTACTAATTGATGAGTCAATGCTCATCTGATAAGACAAATATCTATGAGGCATCCATTCTTAAATCAAATGGTTTGTGAAAGTATACTGATTTGTCATTTCACTTAATAATCAGCGTTAACGAACATAACCTGTCCAAAGTGGATCAAGAACAGGATTCCTACCTCTCTATCTATCTCTGAGATGTTTCCATTTTTCAAATTAAGAACGGAAGTTCGCTGCTTTTTTTTTTCTTCCATATAATCAAATATTTATATAAGATATAAGAGCATCTCCAATATATTTCTCCAAAATTTCTCTAAAATAGAGAACCAAAAGTCAATATTTAAAAAAAACGTGTTCGCCATTTTGAAGAATTCAACATTTTATAACATTAAAATATTATTCTATATGTTAAAATATTATTTTTCTTTCTAAATATTTATTTTCAAACTTTTCAATTGGTGAAAATATATTTAAAAAAAATATTTATCTCACATGGTAATCATTTAGGTGTTCTTGATATTCGGAGAAAAAAAATCTTATTTTTCCCACTTTCTTCATTTTGAAAATAATTTTAAAGGGATTTTACGGTTATATTTTATATCTTTATAATTATTTATTTAATTTATTTTATATTTTCATTATATTAACATAAATAATCGTGTATTAACTAAAAAATACTGTTTTTTTTTCCACAAATTACGCTATTATAATCGTCTCGTCAATATTTTTAAAATAGGCACAATATTGCATAATTTTAAATTTAATCTTATATTATTAAATATTATAAATAGTTATGAATTAATTTTAATACCTATATTTTATACCCTTATAATCACAAATTAAATAAATAACTATATGGATACAAACTCCAATTTCATCATCTTGAAATAAGAGTTTTTGGGTTTTTATTATTTTTCATCTGAAAACTCAAAATCAACTATTTATATTTTAAACAAATTAAGATTTATACATATTCTCATTTTTGTAACTAAAAATGAACAAATTCCTATATAAACTTCAACCAGGTTTTCATAGCGAAATAGGCAAAAATACTATAACAATAAAATTAAGTCGTACTTAATATAATTAATTTTATGATTTAAAAAAAATCAGATTATAAAATAATATCTTATTTTATTTATTTTTATATCATTATATATATATATATATATATGTGTGTGTGTGTGTGTATGTATGTATATACATATGTGTGTGTGCATGCGTGCACCCATTAGTTATTATTTTTACTTTTCTATATAAAAAAAAAGACTAAAGACTAAAATGACCATTGATTTAATTGAGT